ATGCAGCAACAATACTTTGCAGGTAGATCATGGACAGAGACACATGCTGAATGATTATGGAAAGAAGAGTAGAATATATGTGTATGTGCATACATGTATATATGCATTGTTGTTGTTATGTACCATGGAGTCAGTTCCGACTCATAGCAAACCTGTACAGGGTTTCCGAGGCTGTAAATCTTTATGGGAGCAGAAAGCCTTATCTTTCTCCCACGGAACAGCTGGTAGTTTCAAACTGATGACCCTGAGTTTAGCAGCCCGACTCATAACCACTACGCTACCAGAGTTCCTTTTGCATATATGTATATATATGGGTGTTCTTGTATGGCACCGCAGGATAATGCACTGGACCACAAGGTAGGTTTGAACCACGGGGGCTGGCAATTCAAACTCCTCGGAACCGACTCAACAATACATAACAACAAATGTAAATGTATATATAAAGTACATTTCACCAAAAAGTCATTATTAAAAACAATATGCAAGGCACAAATGAGAAAATATTTACAAAACTATTTGACAAAGAACTTTCCTAAGAATATAAGGAGCTCTGGTAGCTTAGTGGTTACGAATCGGGCTGCGAACCTTAAGGCCAGCAGTTCAAAACTGCCAGCAGTTCAAAACTACCAGCTGCTCCGTGGGAGAAAGATGAGGCGTTCTGCTCCCGTAAAGATTTACAGCCTCGGAAACTGTGTACAGGGTCGCTATGGGTCGGAACCGACTCGACGGCACTTAACAACAACAAAGAATATATAAAGAATTTTTTCAATCAGTAATAAAATTGGTTTATGGACAAAAGACTTGTATTACTTCAGAAAGAAAGACACATAAATAGACAGTTTTTAACAAGTGTACTACTCTCTAGACTTCAAGAATATGAACAATCAAATACTAAAATTCACACATTAAAATTACTAAAATTTATAAAGACAAAGAGCACAAATGAACCGCTAATGTATTGCTGCTGCTGCTGGTGGTGGTGGTTATGTGCCGTGGAGTTGGTTCCGACTCAGAGTGACCCTGTACAGGGTGTAAAATAACAACATCAGTTTGGTAATCAATCTACTATTTTCATTAAGTTAAACATATACCTACTTTCATAGTTACCTTGTGGTCCAGTGCATTATCCTGCAGTGCCATACAAGAACTCCCATATATATACACATATGCAAAAGGAGCTCTGGTAGCTTAGTGGTTACGAATCGGGCTGTGAACCTTAAGGCCAGCAGTTCAAAACTGCCAGCAGTTCAAAACTACCAGCTGCTCCGTGGGAGAAAGATGAGGCGTTCTGCTCCGGTAAAGATTTACACCCTCGGAAACCCTATACAGGGTCGCTATGGGTCGGAACCGACTCGATGGCACATAACAACAACAACATAGTTAGCTTAATAATTTCTTATCTGTACTCAAGAAAAATAAAATTAGACATGTACAAAAATACACCTCCTATAAAAACGAAATGGGGTGAAAAAGGCTTGCATAAGTTGTATAAGAATATTCATAACATTTTCAATCATAATAGTAAAAACCTAGCTATAACCCTAGTGACCAGAAATAGGAAATAGACTATAAAAAGGAAAAAACAAAAGTAGTATATTAAAACAACAGAACCTTATTCAACAATGAGCTACTGCTACACTCAACCAATAGGGATGAACTGCAAAAACATTATGTTGAATAAAAGAAGACAAACACAAAAGGAGTTACCTCCTGTATGGTTCAATTTATATGAAGTTCTCAAGGGATAATACTAATCTATGGTGGGGAAAAAAAAATCAGAACAATGGTTGTAAGGAGTATGACTGAGCAGAAACATAAAGAAACTTCCTGGGGTGACAAAACTATCCTGTATTTTGATGAGGTGTGCATTGCACACTTAAGATCTGGTAGCGTAGTGGTTACGAATCGGGCTGCTAACCTCAGGGTCAGCAATTTGAAAGTATCAGATGTTCAGCAGGAGAAAGATGAGGCTTTCTGCTCCCGTAAAGATTTACAACCTCGGAAACCCTACACAGGGTTCTCTATACACCACCACCACTGTAGCTTGTATATATACATCGAGTTGATTGCCTACTATTGAAGACACAAAGACGCAACATCTAAAAAGCAGCCATTACAGTTCAAGAAAACACAAACTTGTAAGCAAAGAAATACAAAAGAGGACATCAGTTACCATAATGAAAATCACACAGAAGAGAAAGCTTTTGAGCACAGCAGTAAAGAACTATAGACTACCGTGAAAAGAATATTAAAGGCATATAACACATCATGTACAAAAGTAATTTGATATGCTTAAAACATGAGGGGTGAGGACTGCAAGAGACGAGGCTAGATTAAGATTGTAGTTGTTGTTAAGTGCCGTCAAGCCGATTTCAACCCATAGTGACCCTGTATAGGGTTTCCAAGGAGCAGCTGGTGAGCTTGAACCACCAATCTTGCAGTCCAAATGGCTTTGTAGTCTGATGCATTGACTGAAAGTGCCATACCAGGGCTCCTATCTATAAGCCACACAAAATCCATAAAGTTGTTCATTCTCTAACAGTGTCTTTCATATTCTCTTCAATATGAAAGCAATGAATGTTTAACTTATGAAAGAAACTGAAAAGAATATGTACAAAATGATTTTTTAAGAACAGAACATCTATCAAAGAAGACAGACACTGAAAAAGTGATCCCAAGTCCCTAGTGCAGAAATTCAACCTAACACTCATGACAATGAGACACTACATAGGTTTTTTAAAAACCTGCTTATTTTGTTTATTTGACAGGAATGTTCCAAGCAGGATATAGAGGGTCCTGAAATAAAACTTTGGGGGGGGGGGGGCGAGAAGGTAACGTATTAGATAAACTTATTTTTTAAAAAACTAGGTTTAATATCACAGAAGAGGTAAAAATTACATTAATATTGTGGTTTTGCTGGACAACAGACAAAAATAAGGCACAAAAAGGCATGAATATTAGAAGTGCTAGAAGTGCTTACAAAAGAATAGCTGAGATGATGAGCCATGATGTCAATGGCAGACAGGAAAGTATAAAGGATTGATACACTTTAAAAAGATTTAAAAATCAAACAAACTAAGACTACAAAAAGGTCACTAAGTTGGGATGTAGTAGGAAAAACACGAAGACAGGATTGTAGGTAGTTACAAAAGTTGAAGGAAAAACCCTTGAGGGTGTATGATCTTTCTCTAGCTATGCCCAAGATTCAAACTTTCGACTCTTTAAGGAGGAAGTCCAGAAGTTGAATATCTTTAAAAATTTAGTATCTGTAATTCAATACACAAATAATCCCAACAGAGATCAATGTTATCCCAGAAAAGATCATTTTAAAAATGTATGTAATACAACAAAACTTCATTTAAGTTTGCCTTTTCAAATGTGATTTCCAATCACTATTTTAGCATATATACCCAACAACACTCATTTGAGATAGTTAGCCTTTAAATACTTTGTGAAATTTCTTCAGTAACTTGCAGTATTACTTACAACAAAATTAATTACATTTCTAACCAGAAGTCTAATATCTGATAAAGGAATTACTTACAGGGACATTAAGTGCATACTGTAGTCCTTGAGGAAGTCTTTCATGTGGGTCCATCTGCTCTTCATCATTTTTTACTGTCTCCTCATGGACCATGAGTTCATCGTGTGATATCATATCCTGTTGTCTCATTTCACTTTCTTGTAACACTTCATCTGCAGCAAGGATCTCCTGGTGAGGTATACTCCGATCTTGCAGCACTGGCTCCTGCAGTTCCCCAGACACGGTAGATTGGCCAGAGACTCCACCCATTACAACCATTGCCCTGGAAGACTGCATTTCGTCTATGCCGCCACATTTAAGAAACAATCCTTCCAGTTTGTCGTCAATGTTCATGCTTAAGTACAACTGCCTAGAAAGACCAAGTTTGGCAATAAAGCACAGTAAGTTAGTTTTATGTCTACTTAACCTATTTTAATTCAAATTATGAAAGGTACATATTTAAATAGAAAATATATATTCATGTACTTCAGAACTGCCTCCAAATTTACAATGACCAAGGTAAATTTAGAAAGGGACAGTGAATAAAATACAAATTTTTGATATTAAGATAAACAGACTAAACCCTACTCTAACTCATTAATGAAAAAAGGACCTGACATTAAGTAAACTAAGGAAAAGTATTGAAGAACATAAGACAAAAGGTATATGCCTTTCATGATGATGTCTTAAAAGCAAAAAATAAAGAGGTCAATTCAGTAAGAAATAATCAGACAAAGGATAATATCAGGCAAATCATTTTTAAAAAGCTAAGACACTTAATAAAACACATAAAAATATTCTTTTACACTATCAATCAAATAAATAAACATTAAAAGCAGGTACCAAATTTTATCCATCAAAATGCAATGACTCTTCACTGCTTGCTAGGAGTACATAATAAATGAGTTCTACTTTTTCAAAGGCAATACCAAAAGTCATACAAATGTTCATATCCTTTGAACAAATAATTCTGTTTGTAACTTACTGATAAAATCAGAAGTTAATTCAAAGATATACATCGAAAATCACTACACCAGGACTGTAATAGCAAAAAACTGAAACGACATTATGTATTCAGAGACTGAAGAAAATATGTCCATACAAACTATTAAACCTAGATTTACAGTGATGACTGCACAGCTCAGCAAATTTATTGCAAATCTTGCATTATACACTTAAAATGGATAAATCTTACTGTATGTTAATTATGCCTCAATAAAGTCTTTTAAAAATCAAATCGAAATTCTTTCTTGGTTGAGAAAAAGGGAAGCAACTAAAAAGAGGCATAAACAGGGAGACTTCTAAGAAATCTGGTGGTGTTCTTTCTTAAGCTGAATGTACAGGTGTGCTTACTTTGTGAAAATTCAAGATGTAACTTCTGATAAGTATTTTTTTCTGTCAGCTATTACATAAGCGGGCTTTGAAAAGCTCATGAAAAAAATTTCCATTATTTTCATTCCATTTTTCCTTGAACTTGTTGAAGCTCCCAGGTTCTTCACAAAAAAAGTTGGTCTGCTGAAACTAATTTTTTTTTTTTTTAATATCCTTGAAAAGTATGTGAAGACATGAAAACTTATTCCAGTATATCAAGGGAAATATGTATGCATGCATTTGTGTACTAGTATACCTATTTTATCTGAAATGTATCAGCCTTAAAATTAATATTGGTAATGGTGGTGGTATATAGAAGAGTAGGTTCCAAATCATAGCAACCCTGCATAAGGTTTCCGAGGCTGTAAATCTTTATGGGTACAGAAAGCCTCATTTTTCTCCCATGGAACGACTGGTTGTTTCAAACTGTTGACCTTGACATTAGCAGCCCGACTCGTAACCACTACTGGGTTATTATATCAACATAACAATAACCATAGATTCAAAAGTAACTTCATCTCAAAGAAAATCAAAACACTGACATAAAATGTTTCTTAAAAACAATTTCTGTATCAGACTGTGTGAAATAAACATTCATACACTACCCAATTTACACTGGAATTTTAACTGGTAAATGCATAAAAAAATGTTTCAGTTTAGTCAACTCTTTCCCAAATTAATCACTTGAACAATGGTTATAGCTTTGATCATATCTTGATTAGAAGTAACATAATGATCAAGAAAATTCAAATACAGCACTGAAATCTAAATACATTTCCATTTACTAAGACTATTATCAAGGAAGGCAGTTTTACTTCAGTGAACCACTCAAAACTCATACAGACAGAAACCTAAACAAAACAAAAATGTACCTCATACTTGCTTATCTTGTCCTCCCTGGTACCAGGTATTATCAGCTTAGAATACATAAAAGACACAGGACCTAAGAGTCTGATTTCATTTGTCAAAATTATTAGGTAGCAAACTTGAAATCAAAAGAACAGACATTTTAAGTACATCATCAAACAACTACTCTCTTAAAATATCTCATGTGTCTTATTTTTTAGAGAATAAAATTACATCTAAATTAAAGTTTAAAATGTTTTAAGGCTAACATCTATTTATTCTATTTCTTTGGAAATCCTTATAAAATCAATTAGATTTTTTTTCTCTAAAATTTACTTTTTTCTTAGTTTGGAAAGCCCCTAATTTAACAGGGACTTACATAAGTACAAAGCCACCCTTACTGAATTTTTTTTGCTGCTGTTGCAACTGCTATTACTTAGGAGCATTTACAAAATACAGTAGATGTAGCAGTTACTAAAATAAAGACAGAGAAACTGACCTAGGACAGAATCTAAGGTTTTTAAAAAAGAACAAGAACACCAAAATTGAAGCTAATAGGATCTAATCCAAGACCTGAATTATTTTTGATCATACATCCCCATCAATTAAATTAACCTATCTAATGTATACTATTTAAGGAGCTCTGGTAGCGTAGTGGTTACGAATCGGACTGCGAACCGCAAGGTCAGCAGTTCGAAACTGCCAGCTGTTCCGTGGGAGAAAGATGAGGCTTTCTGCTCCTGTAAAGATTTACAGCCTCGGAAACCCTGTACTGGGGGGTCGCTAAGAGTCGGAACCGACTCCACGGCACATAACAACAACAATGTATACTATTTAAGTAGCCCTCACAACACAGGTGTGCATGAGTTCGGCTGCTAACCACAAGACCAGCAATTTGAACCTACAAGCTGCTTCATGAGAAAAAGAGGAGACTCTCTGCTCCCATAAAGATTTCCAGTGTCAGAAACTCTACACAGGGTCACTATGAGTCGGAACTGACTTGACAGCAAAGAAGCACTGCCATCACAATGCATCCTAGTTAGAACTATATTCCTGTATTACTATGCCAGTATACTATGTACATACTAAAACAGATATCAAACATAATGTTTTACTACCCTCCTCCCTAACATAAAACTCAAACAGGAAGTTTTGAGGAAGTAGACATTCTGATGCAGCCCTTTGGGGACAAAGAGTATTTTAGGGGGGAAAGTAAGTTTCGGTAGAATTCCAGAGAGACGAACCTACAGAAGGAAGAAAACACACTCTAATACAGAGGTAGTAAACGGAAAGGGAAGTAAAAATAATATAACTGCAAGAAAACCTTGACTTCTCTGAAAATATTACTGAAAATAGGTTAGAATTCTTCCGTATGACTGTTTATTCTTAAGGCCCCCAAATTAAGTCATACATTTTGGGTTAAACTGGCTAGCAATGAAAACTGTCTTTTATAGCCAACTCCCTTGGAAAACAGGAAAATACTGTATCATCATAGACTCATTATTATCAAGGAACACTGTGCAAACAAATGTGCTCTGAAACACCATGTCCCATCAATCCAGCCATCTCACTGCTAGGGACATACACAACTCTATAGGTTTATTCATGAAAGTTCACCAAAGACAAGGATATTTGGTGCAGTACTTAAATGACAAAGGACTGGAAAACAACCAAGTGTCCACTGATGGGAAACTTGTCAAATTAATTATAATCCAACCACACAATGAAATATAGGTAGTCATTCAAAGAATGAAGTGCTAGGTGAAAAGTTCTCCAAGATACACGAAGAAGCATAAAAAATTTCATGGCAAAATGGAATTAAAAGATAATGGGATTTTTTCACGAACTTTTTGCAGCCCCCTTGTATTAAGAGGAAAAAAGAATCAAAAGAAGAAATACATACACATTAATGGCTTAAAATTACTGTGGATATGCTGAATGGTTTAAAATTTAAAAAGGTGTGTGACAAGGTTGTATTCTTTCACCATACTTATTCAACCTGTATGCTGAGCAAATAATCCGAGAAGCTGGGTTCTATGAAGAAAAACGTGGCATCTGGATTGGAGGAAGACTCATTAACCACCTGCAATATGCAGGTGATACAACCTTGCTTGCTGAAAGTGAAGAGGACTTAAAACATTTACTAATGAAGATCAAAGAGCACAGCCTTTTGGTATGGATTACATCTCAAGATAAAGACAACAAAAATCCTCACCACTGGAAAAATAAACAACATTCTTATCAATGGAGATAAGATTGAAGTTGTCAAGGACTTCATTCTTCTTGGATCAACTATCAACACTCAGGGAAGCAGCAGGCAAGAAATCAAACAATGTATTGCATTAGACAAATCTGCTGCACAAGACCTTTTTAAAGTGTTGAAGAGCAAAGATGTCAGCTTGAGGACTAAGGTGCACCTGACCCAAGCCATGGTATTTTCAGTGACCTCATATGCATGCAAAAGCTGGACAGTGAATAAGAAGACCATAGAAGAACTGATGCTTTTGAGTTACGGTGTTGGGAGGAGAATACTGAAAGTGCCATAGGCTGCCAAAAGAACCAATAGATCCATTTTGGAAGAAGTGCAGCCAGAGTGCTTCTTGGAGGCCAAGATGGCCAAACTTTGTATCTCATATTTCGGACATATTGTCAGGAGGGACCAGTTACTGGAGAAGGATATCATGTTTGGTAAGGTGGAGGGTCAGAGAAAAAGAGGAAGACACTCAACAAGATGGACTGGCCAAGTGGCAGCGTCGATGGACTCAAGCATGGCAACAGTTGGCCCAGGATCTGGCAGTGTTTCGTTCTGCTGTGCATAAGGTGGCTATGTGTTGGTACTGACTCGATGGCACTGAACAACATACACAGTAAAAATCCTTTTCTAATAAATTTTTTGAAAGGCAAATATCTCAATCAACAATTCTGCAAAGAAACTTAACAATAACTTTTATTAAAATAAGAAATGAGGTACATGAAGATCTTCAGTTTTTAAATTTTATAACTTTTTCTAACCATGTGCAATGACCACTCTTGTTTTTGTGTTACAACACAGGATTGTGTGAGTAATAGCATTGACTTTTTATTTGTCTTCTTTATTTTAAAACAAATATTTAAGTGTTATTTTGGAGCCTGTTTTAAAGACGAAATGAGCCA